AATGAATGGATGGTTCCCTCTCCCCAACTCAGAGGGCTAAATTTAGCCACTCCCACTAAGGCTTCACTAGAGGGCTAGTGTGTCAGGCCGTTGGGTCACAGAATTCCCACGTGGGACTCCAGCTGTAGCTAGCTTCATTCATCACAGCCAAGGGCACCGGAGCCAAGAGTTGCTGGTCCTATTGGTTTGTCCTTGGTGCCCCAAGCCCCCAGCCAGAATCCCACCGGGACCCCGACTTCACATCTTTAAAAGGTTCTCCAGGAAACCCAAGACTGAATGCTCTCCTGGTGATGCCTTGGGGAGAGACCCCTGGCCACATCAAGCTGGCATAATACTGGGAAGAAGTGGGACCCCAGAAGGCAGCTGAGGACCACACCCATGGTCCCCTGCAGGCCACTCCCCACCCCTAGAATAGCCAGGCTGTCTCCAGATGCAACCCGACTGGTCCACTGAAGGACACAAGTGCTGAAGAGCAGCAAGCTTTTCAGACCATTTGCATCAGAGTCCCCGAGGGGACCCAGTGAGCTGAGGGGCACAAGTCCCGAGGTTGGATGACAGGGATTGCCCCTCCTGCCCCCTCACCCTGCCCAAGCTCCAGGTGGATGCAGAGACTGCCCAGCCTCCCCACACGCCCCTGCTCAGCAGCAGCCCTCGGCTCCACCTTGAGTGAGGGCTCCTGTGGCGAGTCTCTTCGAACACTCGCTGGGGGTTTCACAGCTGAGCATAAGCAAAACACACGTTCCAGAGGGCCAACTGGACAGGGTTGGAGTGCAAACTTATGCTCTAAAGGATGCAATGTGTGGGACATCTGCTTGAACCCGGCAGCTGGGACCCCCGGGGAAAGCCTCGGGGGAAACCCGAGACCTCCTGGGCACAGCAGGTCCCTGGAAAGGCCCCAGATAGTATGGAGAGGGACAACTCGCCTCCCCACACTCAGGACACAGACACGTCTTCCTCTTGCTCCCTGGAAAAGTTAAATATCACCTTCTTTTTACTGCCACTGTGGTTAAAGCCACCCAGGGACATTGGCCACCTTCCGCTGTGGTTCATCGCACCTGCTCGCTCTCTGTGGGCAATACAAGCACGGGACCTGTGTCTCCCATCTCCGCATCCCTCCGTGGTTAGAAACATGCCCCATTTCGTAAGCAGCCTGTTGGAGCTCCAGGACTCAGAACCATCGTGCAGAAAGGTGGAAGCTTCCTGAGGGCTCCCTTGCTGGGGACCCTCAGCACCTGATAAACAACAAAGGCTCATAGCGTGTCTGTGATACACAAGAGAGGAGAGTTGCCCCCGGGGGCTCATGGCCCTCTAAGGCCTGGCCAGGTTCCCCCTTATGCCGACCTCCTCCTTAGCTGATGCAGACAGTACGGGCATTTAGGGATGGTGTCTGGCTCTGACAGGGGTCAGAGCACGAAGTTGTCAGTTACTGAGGCCCTGTGGACAGTAGCCCCTGCCTGGCCGGCTGGCCCTGCCCCAGGACACTTGTACCTGCCTCCAAGGACTTCTTTCACAGACAATGCAGCCAGTGACGAGAAGCCTGACCACTCCTGAAGGAAGGAGAGCAGTCCAGGAGGCCTCCCATGCTCCATTCCCAACAGGGCAGCACTCCTGAAGGGAACCTCCTGTGGTGCTGCAGAGAGAGTGGGATTCATTTCGGCCATGGGGCTTGTCTGGCTCCTTCTCGCCCTCCTCCTGTTGAATCAAACCACTGTGAATTGAGAGACACAGCTCTCAGAAAGGAAGCCAGGAGCCTGCTCAGCCAGCTCAGGGAAGTCAGAGGCTGTTCTCCAGCTATGGGGAGGATATTCCTGCTCCCAGATCTTTGAACTTGACCATGGAACAAGGAAATCACATTCCCAGCTTCTGGCCTGTAGCCTGCCCTTCAGGCCACAGTGGAGGCCCCAGCCTCAGACTGTGGGTGCACACCTGGGGTCTGAGCTTCTAGGTCAAAGCATTTTTTAAGCTTCCCACAGGGTTCTATTGGTCAAGGTTAAGAAGCCTTTGCCCACTCCCAACTTTCTGGGGCTAACTCTGTTCCCAATCAGGAATTTAAGAAGCTTGAGGTTTCAACGCAAAGTCAGTTGTACAGGTTGGTCCCTCTTGCCCCTTATTTGCCAGTCAGTGTGTTGTGTGCTGAGCCTGTAGAAATGCAGTCATCGCCCGTCACTTCAGAGAGGCAGGGCGGATGGTGGAGGGGGCCTGGTAAGACCACACAGGCAAACAGACCTGTGTGCTAAGTGCCATGCGGGAGGGAGTCCCAGGGCTGGAGTGGGAGCACCTGACTCTGTGGGCGGGGCTTGACAGAGCCGCTTAGCCACCAAGCAATGACTGAACACTTCTGAAGGATGAACGCGACCCAAATTCTAATAACAGGGCCCTTGTTTTACTCACAGTGCCAAGGCTCAATGCCCATAACTGGGGACCCAAGTGCTCCCTCCCTTGTCCCTGCCTCAGTTCCCAGCTGAGTAACTCAATCCTGGGCCCTTGCCGAAATCTCAGGGGACTGGGGTCCCTCTCCCAAGGGCGGCCACACTGTGTGTGTGCTCCTCAGCATGCCCCACACTTCATGCTGGGCTGGCACACTCTCACTATGCAGCCTCGACTGTGGCCTGACAACCTGCAGCCCTCTTCTGGGGTGAAAGTGTATGTCCAGCTGGAAGGGGACTTGGCCCGTTGGTGGAGGCCGGTGTCTTACTGCTGAGAGCAGTTAGAGATTCATAACTAACCTGAATCCCAAATTGGAGGGGAAGACTCTGCTCTTCTCCTGGCTGAGGATGTGCTCCATAACCTTTCAGATAACAGCCAAGGATGAAGGAATAGTGCCAGGATAATGAACCAAGAGGGCATTGTATGTGGGTGGAATTTCAACCCAGGGTCTATGGAGGTTTTCCCTAGAAACACTAATAATTTGATAATGAAGTGATTGGGAAATAAGTTAAACTATAAAATAATGATCCTGAGTAGCACAAATGCATTTAGCATGTTTCGTATTTGTTCCATTTGCAAAATTAACTTTTTTAAAAAAATCAAGAGTGACCAAAAATCAAAAAGAAAATCTGAAGCAATGCAATTGGGGAGGGGGTCTTCATCTTGCATAGAAGGTAGACCATTCCCCTTTGACGCACAGAAGGCTCTTCATCCCTTTGTTTCTGGAATCAGTTGAGACGTTCCCCCACCAAGCAGGGTGGTCTTCTGTCCAGCATCATATCACTGACTTGCGGATGAATGTGGAGTATTTTGGGATAGCAATCAGCGTTATGGTATAAATCACAAACAGATGTTTGGCCTTGCCAAATTCTGAATAAACTAACAAATCACTGTCTCCGTTCTTAATTCTGATTTGTCAGGGTCCCTTTCCTCCATTTCTTTCCTCTAAAAGGGTAACTTATTCAACTATTGAGCAAGGACCGTTCAGATGGGCCCCATGCCAGGGGCTGCCCACACTCATCCCGGGAGGGTCAGGCCAGCCCTGTGAACAGCACCATGGATGGGGGGGCACCCCGTTTCTCAGCATACAGGCCAGGTGGGAACACATGCCCTCTGGAAATGGGCACCCCACCATCACAGTGTCCACACTGCACTTAGATTAGTGTGAGGCAGAAGGGCCCTTGCAGCTGCTGTGGGGAGGAGCGGGGCTGCAGGGGTTCCCTGGAATCTCCATTTTCACACTTGTTCCCTAAGGAGCTCTATCTCTGAAAAGATGTGTCTCTTCTTGGGTCCTCCTCCAGACGCACATAAATATTTTAGAATCATCGGATGCGCCGTTAATAATGTGGGCGTTTGGGGCGAGGTGGGACGTGAGAAAATGCTTGGGCAATCCTTCTGCATATCCACTCCTCGGCCTCCTCTGTTTTATTGATTGAATGCCCGACTGTAGCAGCTTCAGGAGAAACGGCGACAAAGCAGCTGGTAGAACGGCGATGTCATTAGCTGCTCCCTTCAAAAGAATACTTTAAAATCAGACCCTAGTAATTACTGGCGCTTACGTTAAGCAGCTCAGCGTTGTAGTGAGCACAGGTTTTCCTCCTAACTGCTTAGGCTGCGGAGCTGCACAGGCAGGTCACGCACGAGATGTGCACTTCAAGTCCTTCTTCCAGAGACGTGGACAGGCCCAAACCTTTGGACAGTCCAGTCCCTTTCGTCAAAGATGGCCTTATCTTGACAAGTCTCTGCATGAGCTGGGCTGGGAGGGACCCCTCAGGAGAGGGCTGGCACGAGGGAAGTGGGAGCCACACACGTGTTAACTGAGGCCTGGGCCGGGCCAGTATGTGGGGCCTGCGAGGACTTCCTCTTAAAGATCTTGATCTTAAGGGAAAACTTTTCTAGAAAACAAAGGTGTCTCACATTTTTTTACCTTTTTTTAAGGCAACTAAAAGTGATAAAAACCTGCATGTTTTCTTTTTATCACTGCTTATCAGGTGAGCGTAGGAGCCCAGGTCTTGAAGCAGGAACAGAATCGGATTTGCTCTGTGAGGCCAAGTTATGGTGCTGGTATCGTCCTGGTTTGCCAGGGCTGGGGGCTTCCAGGGATGCGGGACTTTAGTGCTAAAAACATCGGAGTCCTGGGCCATCAGAAGGATCCATCATCCTAGCCGCTGCTCCCCAAATCAGCACCTCCCACCCGAGGCTTGGGCTGCCGGGCACCCTGGGGTCAACCCCTCAGTTCTCAAGGCCTCGGTCGAGACCTGCAGTGGGGCTTCCAGCTCTCAGGCCTGGCCTTGAAGGTGATGGACCAACCCGGATCCCTCAAGCCCAGCCAGAGCAGGGCACCATCGCACTGTGCCGACACCAACGTCGGTGACCACCTGCTCTGGCAACCTGTTCTGCTTTCTTTTAAAGGGAGGAGGAAAGGCAGGAGTCAGTCTGTCCAGGCACCAGGGGCGTTAGGCCAACGGCCACCCATTCTGAGCTCGTCTGGCCCCAACTTAGAAAGCCACCAGGCCTTCCTCCAGACGTCCACGTCAGTCCACGAGCTAGCCCAGAGGCTCTCGGGCAGCCGGCTCTCCTTACACACCTCGGCCGCGTCCCTGCACTCGCAGCCCCCACCTGTCACGACCACCGGCCACCTGAGTGTCCGCGAGCGGGCCGAGGCGCTCATCAGGTCCAGCCTGGGCTCGTCCACCAGCTCCACCCTGAGCTTCCTCTTTGGCAAGAGGAGCTTCTCGAGTGCTCTCGTCATTTCTGGACTCTCTGCCGCGGAGGGGGGCAACACCAGTGACACTCAGTCGTCCAGCAGCGTCAACATCGTGATGGGCCCCTCGGCCAGGGCAGCCAGCCAGGCCACACGGGTAAGGGGCTCAGCAGGGTGGGCCAGGTGGGGTGTGGGCTCCTGGCCTGATGACGCTCATCCAGCTGCCTGAAGACTCCCGTCACCTTCCCCATAGGGATTCCTGAGTGACAGATGACAGGTAGTTAGACAAGAGATGGGTCAGCTGCGCTCCTAGGCAGAGAAGATATACAGCATTCGTCTTGGAAGCAATGACACCCAGGCAGGGGTTACTGGGGGTGCCGGATGCCAGTTCAGCAGATTTGTTCTCCTTAGCCCTGAACCCGGGATGCGAGCAGGAAGCTTCACTCATCCCGGCAGTGGGAATGTGTTTTCCTTCATTCTCTTTGTGCATTTAGTCTGGCCTGAGGGAGAGGAAAGGAGACACATCACCACTGGAGTTAGATTATCATTGATTCCTGTCCACCTGGTTTAATTTTAAAGCCGCTGAGATGACCTTCTACTTTTATGGATTTAAATATTAGAAAAAGAGTTTTGAGGACTTCACCCAAATAGTCTGTTACTTATCCAGAGTTCCAAGCTAGCTGACATTAGACGAATACTTGAGCTTCACAAGGAAATAAATAGTTCTCTTAGGTACCGCGGTAGGGAGGGAAAAAGAGGAGACACTAAGGGAAAAATCTGTGTCAGGGTGGAGATTCCCCACATTCTCCTGCCTGCAGATCATGCTCTTTAAAAAGCACCAGAGTCACAGCCTGCCCGGCTTCTGGTTCCAGATGCAGCTATTCGGAGGGGGTGATGGGGCTATACTCCCCCCACCCCCGACCCTGCCATGGGGAGAAGCCCTCCAGCCAGGTGCTTTCCCCCCAGGGAAAACAATACAGCAGCCACACTTAGCCACCGTGAAACCAAGCTGGCAGGAACCCTCTAGAAAGAGCCATGGGGTTGCAGCAGTGGTGTGCCATCTTTCAGGGCAGGGTTTATGGGTTTCCTAGAGTCCCCAGGCCAGACAGGCCAAGTGCAAGGACTCTGGTTACTTTAGGAGTTTTAACTGAGTTTAGTTAGATAACTAAAGTATAAACAAAGTTCCCTCCCTTTTTTTCACATCCTCAATAAAAATGTACACAGTATCACACCTTTCTCCCACCCCCAATCTGTGCTGAAGACACAGTCTGTGGGTTTAGTTCTGGGATTCTGGTAAATTCTCTTTCCCTCTCTCCAGTATGGACAAGTGAGTCCTTGGGATTATATGCATCCAGAATAAAACAGCCTCTGTATTACTGTTCGGGGTCAAAGCTGCAGGGCTGAGCATTCGTGAGAGGGGCTAAGTGTATATGAAGTGACACTGACCAAAACCCAGGAAACCCAGGCACACAAATGACCTTTTACTCAAGGTCATCTCTTCCCAGCATGTCCAGACTACCTGAGAAAAGGTCCCCGCGTTCAGAGGCACCTCCCCGCCACCAGGTTAGATCCGTGGCTTCGGTTGCATGTGGCCAGCCCGCTGGTTCTCTGTAATTTGGCCTGACTTCAGAATCTGACCTCAGGTTCCTGCAACATGGGCGGTTAATACCAACAGCAGTGCGGGTGGTAGGTAGAAGTGGCAGTAAGTGTTCTCTGTTCTCTTTGGAAGCACTTCTCGGAGCCATGTGAACCCACTGAGGCCACCGAGGAGGGACAGCTTCACGACCACTGCCTGGCTGAGGCCCTGGCAGAGACCCTCGGGGTGATCTGCAGAAGAGCAAGCCAGGAGGACATGGGCCTAGATGACACGGCTTCCCAGCAGAGTGCTTCTGATGAGCAGTAGGGAGCCCGAGGCCGGGAGGGACCTGCACACTCAGGGGAGGGAGTCCCCCACGGCCTCGCCTTTCTTTTTCTCCCTTGTGCTCCCCAAAAGTAAACCGAGCAAATATTGCCATCCCTGGGAGGCCCTTCCTGTGGAGAAATGAGAGCTGCTGGAGAAAACAGAATAACTTTATCTCAGGTTCTTGAAAAATATCTCACATGATGGAAATAAAAACCTTGGCGCTGCGCCTCCTTCGCCCGCTGCCCCAGAGCTGCAGAGTGCGGGAGGCACAGGGCACTTTCCAGAATTTGAAAATTCAAACAGAAGCCATGTGATATCTTCAAATGACTAAAGTAGAGCACATTAAATGTTTCCTGCCCTGATGAAAATAAGACAACTGCATGTTAAATAATTGGCGTTGTATACATTACTGTTACCATGAAAAAAATGAATAGCAGCACGTGTCACACCATCAGCTGGGCAAATGCGCTAAGGTTAAATCTGCGTATGAAGTCAGTCTCCCTTCTTTATAATACTTATGCAGATGTTAAGTATAAACCAGTGACAGCTTTACTGAAGAAACTTAGTGCATGCAGTCACGTCTATACTACCCTGTGGAGGAAACGACAATACCTAGCGATGGGAGCGCAGCGGTCAAGGCAAGGCAGAGCAGGAAGCCGACCTGACACTCACCTACAGTCAGGGCGACTTCCTACGACAAGCCACGCCTCACCCGGGGCTCCCAGATGCCTCACAGGAACGCACACTTGTTTTCCAAGCCAAGCAGTCCTTACTGTGTCACAGAACACTTGCACACACCTTTGTTTTTGAAATTAAAGTGTTTATAGTTATTGCCGTGTCCAGTTCTTTGAGTTCTGCTAAAACTACTGTCATTTCTCAAAAAATGTTTCCTTTACTGTGAGAATGAAATTTGGGCAAATTGTGAGACAACCCTCATCTTTAGATTCCCATCGGGCAGAGCAGAAACCTGGCTTCTTGCTGATGTGAGGGATGGAGCAGGGGTCTAGAACACAGTCCATGAGGAGCATCATCGTTGACCTGGGGAATCACCTCTTGCGGAAAGACAAGAGTTAGTAATACTCAATTTGGGAACAGTCACAAACTTCTTCAAGGTATCTAGGATTTGGAAAAGTGGGGAGAGAGGAGGGTATTGTAGAGAATTCCTTACCCCTTGGAAGTAGATTGCAAGGCTGCTTTTTCAGTAAAATAAGAATTAGCAATTAATAAGTGGGCTCTATAATCAGAGACACGGGACGTTATTCTTGGATCAGCCGTCCCCGGAGATGCAAACGTGGTTATTGCTGATTGACGTGCACGTGCTTGTCTCATGAGGACCTGATATAACCTCACTGCAGTTCCCCAGGTCGCTCAAACCAAACTTGGCCGGCAGCTCCTGAAATCCTCTTGGGCGGCTTTACAGCCAAGCCCTAAGGACCACTGGCAGCCCTGAGCTGTGAGCGTGGCCTGCACTAGGGTGGCTCCTTGAATTTAGTAGGAAAAATGACAAATACCCAGCAGCAGTCAGCCTGATGCACAGCTGATCACTCTTCGGGCATCCAGAAGTAAGAAACACAGAAAGCCACCAGGTTCCAGAAAGTGAACTCTCCTGAAAGAGCTGGAAGACCAGTCTGTAGGGAAATGGAGATGCAGGAGAGAAGGCGGAAGTGCCCTGGGTGCTCCTCCATCTTGTTCCTCTGGGCAGAGTCGTGAGTTGCTTCTCTGTTGAATCCATTGCTTACCCTAGTTCTGCGTGCAGACTTTTGGGGGTGGCAGTGGGAGAGGAAATTTAGTTTATCAACAACGGTGGGGCAAATTCCTCAGATATGCATGCAACTGTGCATTGCCCAAGAAAGAGTCAAATGATCCTGAGTGTGTGTACTGAGAAGGTGTAAATGCACACACACTTACATCCACAGGTGTATGTGCCTGCAAAAGGATCACTGTTGGACTCACTCCAGGACTCTTCGTGGCTGTCAATGATGCAGTCACTTTTTTTTAAATTGTCGTAAACAACTATAACAGTTGTTATATTTACAACTCATGAGCTTGTTAATCTGGTCTTCAGCCAGTCAGCTGTTTATCAGACAGTGGTCCTTGCAAAATATTGTATTATTAGCCCCCTTTCAAAGGAGATATTCCTAAGGTGGCATTTCTCCCTGCGGTTATTCAGGTCTTCTGTCAGCATACAGCTGAAGAGTTATTTTCTCCATTTGGGCCCTCAACAAAATTGTTTCTTCTTTAAAGATAACAAAAACTGTAGTGCTTGGTTTTATATAAATCGTGTGGCTAATTTGGCATCCTTGATTCTAAATTTTGCACTGTGTTGAGACCATCTGTGCCTGGCAAGTAGTTTTCTAAAATCACGTGATGCTCCAGCTTCTCTTCGCCCATAAAGTGTGCAATGCAGTGCCTGTTTATTGGCCGTCTCCTCTCGAGCCGCCTGCCCTTTTCTGCTGTTTTGTCCCAAGTCATTATGCTTCAGGGACACAGCACCTGCCATCATCACAGTGTGTGCACGTGTGCGTGTGCACACACACACACACAATGTGCCATCTTCGCAGACACAAGCTTCTATGAATACCGAGACAGACAGGAAGAGAAAGGGGGTCAGGGCCCATTCCATATTTTCTGGGCCCCCATCACCCCTGCCCTCTGCTTGATGACTTGAGGGCTGGGAAGGAGTGAGGACTGAACTTGCAGCCTTACTGGAGACCTCGTCCTGTCAGCCTTGATAAGCAGAGAGATTATATTCAAGAATTTAAAAGACTTGTCTATCTCCCTACGTGTGCTTACTCTTACTCCGAGTAAGAAGGGTTTTAAAATGCTGTGTTTGGTGGCTGGTGGTACAATGTGCTACAGGGGAAGAGGAAAGAACGATTTCGTAAGCTCATTCCCCAGGTCAGCTCTTTGTCTCATCCAACCATGCTAACCTAAATTCCTCATACAGGCATACATATGCCAATTTGGTGCTCTTCAAAGTGACTTTTTCCTTGAAGTCTGGACTCATACCCACTTAGCTGTTAGGGATCTGGATTTGTTTGAACAGTAGACCTTTCAAATTCAGGTCTAAGAGAATTCCTGCCACGCTCCTTCCTCTCCCAGAGCCCCTCACCTCAGTGCTCAGTCTCCTCTTCTGGTCCTGGCTTGTGCTCAGTGAGTGGACCTCAGTATCCCTTCCTCCTTTAAACCTCAGCAGAATGCTGGCCTACAGGCTGGACACCTTCGGCCCTGAGTTGGAGTTACTGGTGAATTCATCTTATCTGGTACCATAGACTGCGTGGCTTAAACAACAAATTTATTTCTCACAGTTGTGGAGGCTGGCAAGTCCAAGATGGAAGTGCTGGCAGATTCGGTGTCTGGTGAGGCCTGCTCCCCGGTGCATAGACAGCCGTCTTCTCACGGTCCTCACATGGTGGAAGGGGCGAGAGAGCTCTCCAGGGTCTCTTTTAGAAGGGCACTAATCCCATTCATAAGGGCTCTGGCCTCATGACCTCATCACGTCCCAAAGGCCCACCTCCAAATACCATCAGATTGTGGGTTAGATTTCAACATATGAATTTGTCATGGGGACACACACATTCAGACCATAACATTATTGATTATTAAATTTCATTTCTAAAAATACAGGTATTGCACCTGACAGCTTCATCCATGCTCCCTGGTCATTGTGACGAAGTCATACAGTAATTATTCAGTGAACACTAGATGCTCTTTTGATTGATAGCAGCTACAGCTTGTCACAGCCAAATGTCAACTCTGAGGTCTAGGGGCGCCTGATGCCCTGGAACAGACAGCCAGCCTGGCCAAGGATGCAGTGGGGGCAGTGGAAAGAGCATGGGCTTCAGAGCCACACAGACTTGGGTTCAAATCCTGGATCTGCCACCATAAGCTTGTTTCTTTACGATTAGAGAGAAAGTGCAGAAGCCCCCAGCACCTTACAGATGCCAGGGGCCGTCCCGACTCTGCTCTGCACCGTGGATCTTCTGAGGGGATGCTAACACTCTCGCCCTCCACGAGCACACTGGGCTTCGGCTCCAAGAACCCTCAAACTAGCTATCTTAGTGCCTCTGATTAAATTTCATTAGCTTTCCTTCTAAGCTAAGGCAAAATTAAAGGCTACTAAACCGTCCAGACCGAAAACACTGAATACAGAGGATAGGTGGCGGAAGGACAATGTCCCTTCACACCTCAGATGGATGCGGACCCTCGTAGATAGAGCCCCTTCCTGGAGGCGCCTGTGAAGGCTCCGTCTGGATGGGGTCCCACTTGGCGGGGGCAGACCAGCTCTGCTGGGCCTGGGTGCTGGGCCTGACTCTGGGGAGCACGGGGACATCATCTCCCCAGCCTGCCTCCCTCTCTCAGTCTCCTGAGAGCTGAGTGGGGCTCACTCAGCGCAGTGCGAGTCAGATGAGAGTAGGTTTCCTGTAGGCCAGGCTCCCGGCCTTTGTGAGAGGCGTCTACCCACTTCACAGGCAGGGGCCATCCCAGCCTCCTGAAGCTCACAGACCACAGCTGTGCTCAGTGCACCTCCTGTCCCGGCGAGCATGGCTGAGGTCGCACTCAGCCTGTCAGATGTCCTGAGCTCAGCCTCCTTGAGCAACCCAAACGGGCAGGGACAGGGGGACAGAGACACCCTCTTCCTTGCACGGGACAAAGCACCCTTTCTAAGGGATTAGTTCATAATCTATTAGGCCTTTCAGGTATGATTCCTCAAAGGCTTGGCAAATCCAGACCAAGCTTCAGAAAGCTCCCTTGGGAGAAAGCACTAAGGAAAGATAGTGACTTTCAGAGCCTATCATAGGCTGCAAATGGCTGTCGTGGTTTACAGACTGGAATGCTTCCTGCACTGTCCACTGCGCCCAGTGCTCAGCTCATGGGACACCTCGCCCCCCAAACATCTGGACTGGTCCACGGTGAGACAGGGGCACACCTGGCATTAACATCAGCTGGGTTTGTAGCTAATGCTAGTTGCTAAAAAATCCTGGAAATTCATAAATCTTCACCAAAAATGACCTAAAAACACTGAACTGTTTATCATTCCAGCACCAGCATCCACTCGGAGGGCCGTTTTTACCCTTCATGAGTTCGGAGTTTCAGCAGTGTTCTCTACAGTGCCCTGCTGTGGGCTGAACCTCATCCTTCTATATCACTATCCTTGCCGGCTCCAGGCCCCGGCACTGGGCACTCTCCGGGGATCATGTGGATGGCTCATAATGGTTTCCTTCCATGGTGTGGCACTGCCTTCCTTCGACAACACTTATTTCCCCCCTTTTCTGGAAGGGAAACGAGGCACAGAAAGGTTTAATAACATGTCTAAGTTAATGTGGCCAAAGTGGGGCTCTGATCTGAACCCACAGGCCTGACCCTGCTGAGTATCAACTGCTACCAATGTCGCTAAAGACTCTTTATCCCTCCCACACGAGGACTCGCATGTGTGTAACCACCACATTTATTTTTATTTTATTAAGCAATAAGCAAACAAACAAACAGAGGTGGGTCAGGGGATGACCTACAATGGTTTTCTTTTGAATAATAATTTTTAAAAATCAATGAACTGCTATCACTTGAAGCTGCAGGAGACCGCGGCTGCGCCAGGAGAAGGAGTGAATCTTCATGACACGCAGAGTTGATGAGGCAGTGGGCTCTTCCCTCCCGCTTCCCCGGACACGTGCACAAACTCAATGGGGCAAATTCCATCGAATACTCTGAAAACCATTTCTCATTTTGTAATTTACCCAAATCATACGCACAACTGCAAGAGGAAACAAACAGAAATCTCTCAGCATAAACAAGCCACAGTGCACTGTTAATCTTGTAGAGTCAATCCAGCATTAGGGCTAATTTGATCTTTTAAACATTTTATGGAAACCAGCTGTTAGGCTTTCTTGGGAAGAGCCACAAGGTTCCCTAACCCTTAAGGCAGGAGACCTCGGTGGGCAGCGCCCTGCTCAGTCTCCTCGTGAGCTGGCAACAGTCCTTACCGTGCACACAAGCACAACACAGATCCTCTTCACTTCCCGCTGCTCTGCACGCACGTCACGATATCCGGCAAAAGGTGGTTTCTGTTTTCCTTGGTGACCTGTGGCAAGAAGCAAGAGAGTGGGCTTCAGAGTTCCTTCCTGTTTCTGCAGTCCTCTGACAGGGAACCAGGAGGCTGGGAGAGGGGGAAGGCCCGCTCTTCAGGAGCACTCTGAACACAGGACAGGTGCGGCTCAAAAAGTGAAAGTGTGCTTTGATGACTGCTGGATTTTACCCACGGGAAGAGCTGGGAGTTGAGCCCCGTGCGAGGCGCTCTGGGACGGATGATGGGAGTGCAGGACGGGGTGGGACACTGGGACACGGCCCGAGTGCACCCTGACTGAACAGAAGGAAGTGCCTCAGTGAAGCCGGGAGAACTCGCCCATGAGGCAGGTCCTCCGGCCATGAGTCGCACCCAGAATTCTGGGATGCTCACAAAGGTCAGTAATCCACTCCCTCTCTCCACCAGCTTAGAAAATCAGAGTGTTGCAAGGCGCCCCTGACACCAGTCAACTCCTCATCTGAAAGATGAGGAAAGTGGAGCCCAGAGAAGTGCAGCGATTTTCCTGAGATCTCAGGGGAGTTGGTAACACAGTACAGACTAGAACTCAGGTCCCCTGGCCCCAGTGTGCCTTCTCTGTAATTAATAGCATTACCCAAACAAACACAAGTAACAGAATTTATTTAAGCTTTAGCTGGTGGTGTGTTTTTTATTTTCTTTCTTTCACTACCACAGTCCCAATGAGTACAACAGAAGCATTCAGACACCATGGGGAGGTTCAAATGAGGGCAGGGCCACCTCTTCTCCCATCACCAGTCCCTTCCGTTTGGCACCATACAACATCCACCCGTTCAACATACATTGATGGACTTTCGACCAGAAATGGGGCAAGGTGCTGGGAATACAGCAATGCTCATAAAAAGACCTTAACCTCATGGAGCCTACAGACCAGAACAGAGGGACAGACATGAACAACAAGGAGAGCAACGAATGGAAAAGGATCTGCGAGAAAAGTCTGGAGAGGCGCGCAGGAGCCAGGCAGGGGGCAGGAAAGGCTTCCACGGGCAGTGATGCCTGCACTTAATTTTGACAGGTGAACAACAGAAGGGCACCCAGACAGAGAGAAGGCCCTGAGCAAAGAATCATGGCAAGAGGGCGTGCATCTGGAAATCTTCAGCAGGTTCAGTGTAGGTGAACCCTGAGAGGAGAGATGGGCCTGGTCCCACTGCAGAACTTCACACTCTCTGTGTCTAACAGAGGGCCTGGCACACCGTAGGTGCTAAATAAATGTCTCATGAGGAAATGCATAGTGGACTTCATCATTTTGGGGTCCTCAGCAGCCACTTACCCTTCTTCTAAGAATGCTTTGGTTTTCTTTTGAGAGACTACATAGGCTAGGAAACCAGCCCACGGGCAAGGAGTGCAAGCCGGGCCCTGGAGATCTTCCTGAGAATCAGAATTCTGAAAGAAGTCAGCTAAGTGGCAAATGCCTGAGGCTGAGACACTAACAGTAGTGTCCAGGCACACTGTCCACTGGTCCTCGCCATGCAGGTCCCTGGGGCAACTCTGGCTCCAGTGAAGTGAGGGCCATTAGCTTTGCCTTCAGCTTGAAGAGAAATCGCACAGCCATGCAAGGCTTTTTGTTGCTGTTTTCTTTTCAATTAGCCTAAGTCCATTTCTGCTGTTTGCATTCAAGGAAATCCCCTGATGTGGAACAGTGGAAAGGGGGAGGCAGGTGGGTATCCAGCGGTGGGAACTCAGTAGGCTCGCCGGGGAGCCTCATATGGCTTTAGCAGCAGCGTGGAGAAAGGACAGGTGGCAAGACTCGAGCTGTTAGTTCCCTTTTCTCCAACCTGACGTCACCAGGAATTACAAGAGGTTCTGCCTTCAGAGTCTGTGAGAGTGTACCGCATGTCTCAAAGGAAAATCTGGAGATGAGGGGCATTTTGGTCCATTTCCTCTTCTCTGAACATTTCATCACGTCCTTTATAAGTGTAAAAGAAAGGACGAGATGTTGAGCTGGGAAGGGGAGAAATGGAGAGGGAAGAAGCATAAAAGATAAATGGGGTTGGGGGAGAGGAGGAAAGGAAGGCAACACTGTGTCCAGATGGAAAGAATGAACTAACTTTGCAAGAGTGAGTAATGAGGAGAGGCAAGTACATCACTGCCCGCTCAAGGCACCACGGCCTCCACTATCCCTGAGGAGACCCTTATTTCTCCCTCCAGCAATGAAAGAGAGCTATCACAGATGGAGCTTGAGCATTCGACTTCACCACTTCTGCAGTGGACAGCTCTGATGCTGATCAACTGTAAATACGTGTTGGTGCGATGAGATAGACATGAGGTAACAGAATCGAGCAGTTTGCATGAGGATGGGGGAAGGAAGGGAGGCTGTCTTCCTACGGTCATTACTAAGGCTTCATTTCCATTCTCTCAATCCCCAAGCCCTTCGATAGAATGGTTAGGGGCACATGAAGGGAAGTGAAGGGCGACAAGGTGGAAAACCCCATTATCCAAGATACGGGTCCTGAGCGAAGGCTGTTTAAGTGGCATAGCCAAGGCCTGCAGAGTTGGGTTTAACAAGAGTGAGGCTTCAGAGATAAAACAAGAGGCCCAAGAAGCGCTCGCATGCCACACAGCTCCAGTTCCGTGTTTCAGGGAAATGCCCCGTCCTCTCCATCACCACAACCGTGTGGCAGCCCTCAGTACACAGAGCTGTCAAGGCCTCTCTCACCTCATTTCAACTTCAAACCAGGCCTCTATGGTACACGAGACATGCACGACTATCCCCACTTCATACAAGAGAAAACTAAGGCACAGGAGACGAGAGCATTTCAAAGATTGATGAGCACAAACACCTCAACCATCACCCAGGGGTCCTGACCAAGTGAGGCCCGACCCTGCCTCACTCCCTCCTCAGGAGCTGCTGACGGCTGAGGGCTCTGCAGCAGGGCAGTGCTGGCCGCCCCAACACTCAGAGAACTCCCAGCCTTGGTTAGATATAAAAAGAATCAACACTAAAACTGGAAAAGACGCATTTGGAGAACGTTTTCTCATTAAAAATTAATGAACAGAATGCAAAAACTACACTATTTTGCTACCCCCCACCCCGATTTCCCTAAGATTATTTCTGAAAGTTATGCAGGAAGATGTCTATGTGAAACTGTCTACTGTATTCAGTTATGCTCCTTGTACACAGATGACAAACTCTCACATGTGAGGACAAGTATGGCATCATCTGTTGACCTTGGGGCCCCTCTCTTTATGTAGAATTCTAGTCTTTTTATTCAACCACAAAATTTTGGCTGCAGAAAGTCTTTCCTGAGTCCAATGAGAAGAGGGAAGTGGGGGCTGGGAACAGAACAAGAAGGTGAAAAGACTGTGGAAAGGAACCAAGGTGGCCTGTTCCCCGCCTTCTGCACTGCAGCCCTGAGAGAAATGCAGGAGGCTGAGGGCAGCCTGAGCTCCGCCCTGCCCAGTGGCTGCAAGAGGGCCACCCACCCGGCCTAGGCAAGGTGAACACTGGACCTTGAGTTCTATGGGGACGGTGCTGCCTCTCCTTCATCCTGTCTCTGCACATGGTGGGTGCTCAATAAATGCTTAGTAAATTCTAAGCTGAGAAGACACTTTGAAATAGGGCTGAGTGGTTACATAAAGATTATGAAGACTTAGACCATCTAAGTAGCTCTGTGCCTCCTGGGGCCTCGAAAGTGCCTGAGAGTCAACAGTCAACAACCTGGGTGCCATAAATAACACCAGGAAAACCGTGAACATATGGACAGAGCGACAGTCAGGGAGAAAATGCCTCTCAGTACATATACTATGTGCAAGAAAGAAAAGCAAAACCACATACATTTCCTTGAAACTGTGGGAAGGACCCTGAAGTTTCTCATAAACAAGGGATTACAAACTGAGATTAATTTGACAATGCTCATTATTATAACTTAATACATAAGTTATTACTAGTCTCTCTGTTTCATGTTTTGTCTTTATTTTATTGAACCTAAAAACAGGATCATTCATGAATGCAAACCCTGTAACTCTACTCTTTCTTGAAAGTTAAAGTTTCTAAACAAAGAATTACTTTGCCAGTGGGGATATGAGGAAGCCAGGGCCCACGGTTGGGAGGGGACTATACGTCCACATCCGGGTAGCACGAGGAGGAAGCGCCCCCGGAGGAGGAGGAATGGTGTGATGGCTCCTTTGTGTGAGCATCCTGTCTACCGACGTGTGTATATAAAACAGCTTTCTTGAGATATAATTCATATATCATAAAATTCAACCTTTTCAAGGGTATTAAATGGTTTTTAGTATACTCACAGAGTTGTGCAATCATCAGCACTACCTAGTTAGGATATTTTCATCAGCTCCCTCCAAATAACTCCATTGTCATCCTTGACACTTCCTCCTTCCCTCCAGTCCCTGGCAACCAGTGATCCGTTTTCTATCTCTATAAAGTTGCCTGTGTGGGACGTTTCATACAGATGTAATCACAGAAGATGTAATCTTTGGTGACAGGTTTCTTTCACTTAGCATAATGCGACGTTAATTCATCCATGTTGTTGCATGTATCACTATGTCACTCCTTCTTATTCCCAAAGGATATCCCACTGTGTGTGTATCACATTTTGTTTATCCATTCATCAGATGATGGACATTTGGGTTGTTTCCACTTCTTGGCTATTATGAATAAGGCTGCTATGAACCTTCATGTACCAGTTTTTGCAGGAACATGTGTTTTCAATTCCCTTGGGCACACGAAGACCTAGCAGGGGAATTCCTGGGTTAGACAGTAACTCCACGTCTGCCTTTTTGAAGAACTGCCAAACTGTTTTCCACGGTGGCTGAATTTTTACGTTCCCAGCAGCACTGTATGAGTGTCCCAATTTCTCCACATCTTCCCTAACACTTCTTATTTTCCATTTCTTTCCTTAGATTATTAAGTGTAAGAGTTCTCTATATATTCTGGGATATAGATCCCTTATCAGATAAATGATTTGTAAATATTTTCTCCCATTCTGTGGGTTATCCTTCACCTTCTTGATGGTCTCCTTTGAAGCACAAGAATTTTTAATTTTGATGAAGTCCAATTTAGTTTTTTCTTCTTTTAGTGTTGTATAAATAAGACTTTGTCTAACCTAAGTTTAAAAACATTTACTCCTATATTTTAAGAGTTGTATAGTTTTAGTTCTTACAGTTAGGTCTAGGTCTATTTTGAGTTAATTTCTGTGTATGATGTGAAGTAAGGGTCCAACTTCATTCAACTCTCCTGGCACTCTTGCCAAAAATCAATTGATCAAAGATGTAAGGGTTTACTTCTGGACTCTCAATTCTATTCCATTGGTCTGGGTCTATCCTTATGCCAGTGCTACACTGTCTTGATTACTGTAGCTTTGTAGTAAGTTGTGAAATCAGGAAGTGTGAGTCGTCCAACATTGTTCTTTTTCAAGATTGTTTTAGCTGAGTCCTTTGCATTTCCATGTGAATTGCACGATTAGCTTGTCACTTTCTACAAAAAACCCTGCCTACTCACTTTGACCTAGAGGTTGGCAGATGTACTCTCACCCCTGTATATACAGTACAGGAGTCCATGGACCCAGAGGACAGCATCAAATTCCTGGTGCGATTAAAATGGTTTACGCCTCTCTTCGTGAAAAAACTCATGGCAGGGAAGAGGAAGTCTAAAAATTTCCACATTGGAGGAAAATTGGGACCTAGTTCCCACTATTCTTGTGATCTTCAATCCACAAATAAAAACTAAAAGAATAAAAACTGCTTTATGGAAAAAACAAGTTTAAATGGCTCTGAATTCAGAAGAGAATAGATTTTAGTAACATCTTTATAAAGTAGAAAAACCAAATAATTTCTAGGGATCTGAGATTTTTATAGCAAAATCACCTGCCTCACCTCTATCAATGAAGGTAGCAGCACAGCAAGGTTGTGCTAATGCTCAGGCTTGGGAGAGAGACGGACCGAGGTTTGAATGCTAGCTCTGCCGCCTGCTAACTGAGTGACCCTGGACCAGCCATGCAACCTCCCATGGATAGAATGGAGAAGGTGTGACTGACCTCCCCAGATTGCTGTGAAGTCCGTATGCACGAGCCACCCTGTATCGAAATGAATGCTCTGCAGACTCCAAGCACCAATGCTGTCCCTTCAGCAGGTAACAAATGCTCTCCAGCATTTCCACTAAGGAAATATTTCAAAGGAAATGATGAAACATGCTTCCTAAATGCCATTAAAATGACCAAATTCATTTATATGTACTTTTTGGTAAGAAGTGATTAGCAGGGACAAAAATATTCTTTTCATGTTAATTAGAAAACTATGAAAATAGTACACACAGCTCCTTCTAGTAATCTTGATCCATGAAGGTCTTCATCTCTTGCCTCTACAGCATTAACATCATTAAATGTTTTTTGACAATTAGCCTCAAATAACCAAATATTGAAATAAATTAAAAACATTTTCCAGTGGCTATACTTAGATAGCAGTAAACTCTAGAAGAAATGAGAAAAAAAATTCTAACCAAACTTCTAAAAGAGAAAGAAATTTCAAGAAGGCAATTATCAATACCCTAGCCTGCATCGTGACAGAAGTTTCTAAATTATTAAGACCATCAGCCAATGACATGCAGGTTAGACCTTCTGTTACAGCTCCACAAGTCCCTGAGGCTCGGCTCTCTCTTCAGTCTGTTCTTTCTTCAGTCTGCTCTGTCAGGTAATTTGCGTTGTTCTACCTTCAAGTTCACTGATTCTTCCCTCTGTCATCTCCATTTTGCTGGTGTGTCTATCCAGAGGCTTTTTCATTCAGTTATTGTATTTTACAGTTCTAAAATTTTCATTTGATTCTTCTTTATGTCTTCCATATCTTTGCTGAAACTTTTGATTTCTCTTGTGAGACTTTCTACTTTTCATTTGTTTCAAACATGTCTGTAAGTGATCCAGGAAGCATTTCTCTGATGGCTGCTTTAAAATCTCTGCCCTGTAATTCCAACATCTATGTCATCTTGCTGTTGGCATGTGATGATTGTGTTTTCTCATTCAAGTCGATTTTCCTGGTTCTTGGTATGAGAAGTGATTTTCACTTGTGTCTGTTGTGTGGTTCCTTGCGGTCCTCAGCCAGTACACCGCCTTCTCTTCAGGTCTCTTTATGCTTGTTTTATGTATAACACCCAAGGTTTTTAGCTGTACTTAGTAGGAGAAATAGAGAGAAGTGTGTCCATTCCACCTTGTCTAGAACTACAACTGTTCTCAGGTGTTTTTCTGAAAAATAACGCTCTATTTACTTGACACTATTAAGAATAATAAGACGAGATAATACGAGTAACTTTGAGTGGAATCCTTTCCCTAGATCATGAGTTCAGCTCCGTCTCCACCCTCACATGCTCACCTGTTAGCAAGGGGAGCCTGCCCGCCTCAACTTTCATAACTTACTTCCTTACCTGGAATATTCTCCCTTCTTTTCCTCACTTCCTCCTTCAAAAATCCACCCAAGAACCACTTCCTTCAGGACCCCTCTCCCCACTGCTGCTCATACAAATCTCTCCCTCCTCTGCCCCCAGATTTTGATCGTCCCATGGTCTGTTTCTCTTGAGGGAAGGGAACATGCCTCACATGTGCCTGTCCATGGACCAAGTGCTGGGTGCAAGGGATGCTCTCAAAACTGCACTAAGACAACCTCACTGTGTATTAGAAAAGGACCAAGAAATATCTCATCCAACCTCTAAGTCTGCAGATAAGGAAAAGGAGATTCTTCATTTATAAAACAGTAACAGAAAGACCACACAAGCCCCAAAGGAACACAAGATAAGCAAGAATAATGGGGTATGTGAGCCTCTCTCTCTTACATAAGTAACCATAAGCTAACTTACACATCATTAGGAACGTTGATTACCTTGCCAGGAGAATAACTTCCAGTCTTAGACAAAGCGTGGTATTATCTTAAGATATAATGTGTTTTTCTGGACTTAACAATTAACTTCCCTCAATCCCACTTTAGGACTTTTAGATTAGATTAGTTTGCAGAGAGCCAATCCCTGGAGTTTAACACCAGCAATTTCCCAGCCTCCGGCCTGGAAGCTATCTGACCTGAAAACTAATTGTCTTTCATGATCTTAACTATTCACTGCCTCTACTTCCATAGAAACTCTAGAATCATAACCAAAAGCTCTAATATGGAGGCTATGTAAAGGCAGACATAGAGAAGGCAACTTAAAAACTCAGAAGACGAGAGCCCACACTCTTTTCAAAGCCATCACTGAGGACACGACCTTGCATGGCTCCCAGGCCTCAGCTCACATGTCAGCTGCTCTGAGAGACCTTCCCTGATCACCACCTCCCTCCCCCACCTCCAGCCCCAGCTACCACATTGCTCTCGTTTATTTTTGGTGTTTATCACTATCTAAAACTGCCCAATTGTTGGCTTCCATTTATTATCTTGCCCTTCCACTGGAATGTCTGCTCTGTAAGCACAGGACTCGGTCAGTCTTGTTCATCACCAAGACTTAGAATGATGCACAGCACACAACACACGCTCAACCAATATTTACCAAATGAATGAAAGAGTAAAAGAATGAAGGAATGCACAAATTTTTTCAAGTCTGGCTGCTCTAATCCTAATGGTTGTTTACTGCCCCCAAAGTACCCCAGGATACTTTGGTGACAAATGTGGATATCACACTAGGGCCAGCCAGCCATGGTGACATTTTAACCAGTGGTGTAAGGTGCTCATGGGTACTCGGCAGCTAGAGCTCTCTCTTCTCTCCCCAAGAGGGGTGGCCCTGTCAGCCTGACTTGTTCACTTGGTACCCACAGGACCAATCAGCTTTTAAACTGGGGGGTGGGGCAAGAGGGGCATAAGCAGAGCTCAGCCAAGAATGTGGCTATCACTGACACAAACCAAAGTGGAGCTAGGCAAGACAATATCTGACTACGAAGGGGACAGAAAGACAATGAGGAAAGAAAAGCCAAGCGTTTAGGCAAAGTGCCAGCAGTGGTATCAAAGTCCCTTACAACTTGGCTCAGACACTGCCACCAAATAGTAGGACAGAACTACTCATCTGTCACATGTGCTCCACAGCACGGCCCCTCTAACTGCAGGGGGCCTGAGAACCACTGGAGAGCACGTTCAAACAGATGACCAGGACCAGGCCCAGGCCCAGAGAGCTCGATTCATTAGATCAGGGCGAGGCCTCCAACAATGCACGTTTTACAAGCTCCCAAGGTGATGCCCACACTGCTGGTCTGCAAACCTCACTTTGCCTAGCAGGTCTGCACAGCTGTGCTGTCCATGTGGCTACCTGAGTACCTGAAATGTGGCCAGTGTAAGTGGAGGAACTGAATTTTTTATTTTATTTAGATGTGAATAGCCACATGTGGCTAACGGCTACTGCACAGGACAGTACATTCCATCATCACAGAAAACTCTATTGGACAATGCTGCTCTACAGCACCTGGAAGCCGTGCTTCAAACCACAGCTACAGCTTCCTCTCCCCACAAGCAGAAGTGGGTCAGTTCGAAAGGGAAACCTTTACAATAAAACGGCACTGATTTGCCTCTGTATCCCAACCTGACCATCACCCTGAGAAGAGATGTGCTGAGACCAACAGCACCAGCTGCTCTGGGGACTTGGACGCCGGGGAGGTCCTGGTGCCTCGTGGGGAAGGTGGAGAACACAGCCAGAGCAGCTGAGATGGGCAGGTAGCTCCCCTACGGGCAAGTTTGTTTTTTCATGGAGTAGAGATACAATTTAGGTTCTATAAATTCCGAGAAAATCAGACTCACCTATATTCTAGCCTAAGAGGAAAAACAACAGTAATTCAGTGACAAAGGTATATGTTAGAGCCATCCGCTGTTTTGGGTCACCTGCTCCATTTTGCAGGTATGCAGGACTGGCTGTACTCACACTGAACACTTTAACGTCGTTCCTGTTTCTTATTTCTTCCACGAGGGCCAGCGGTTTTCCTTTGGGGATTGGGATTGTGCCAAGGACTGTGGTCCCTGGGCTGGACAGTGTCTGACGAACAGCCTGGATGAAAGGCTGACTGAAGAGCTCCATTTTCCCAATCTCATCGATGACACACACTCTCTGCCCTGGGCCACTGCTGGAACCCGCCTGAGGATGACAGAGACATTAATTGGGACACTGCAGTCACATTAAGCAAAGGGCGCTGGGGTCCCACTCCTCAGTCACTCACTGACCAGCAGTCACACCAGGGTGAGTCAACTACACTTTGGAAGACAGGAGGTCACCTGGCAGTCCACAGGGAGCAATTACCTAGCAGACCCCTCCCGAAGAGCTCCCTGGGAGATGGCAGCACTTGGGTCACTCAACGCTCTGAGCCACCCAGTTTTCCTGGCAACTTTTCAGTGGTTCCAAGAACAACCACGCTTTATATGTATATTTACCCAGAAAGTAAACAGACCCAAATGCCTTGGGTTTAAAAGAAATGAGACAGCAAACGTGGGTGGACTTACTAACACTGGTCTCTTTTTGTCCATTTTGAGTCACATGAGGGTCCCTGTCTGCTGGGAGGAGGTAACTGGTGCAGGCAAACGCCTGTGTTTCATAATCTGTACCACGAGGGTTGGTAGAAAGAATTGAAAGTTAAAAGAAAAAGGAAAAGAGTCTTGGTTAAAAGAAAAAAAGTGAGGGCCCGGCCTGGTGGCACAGTGGGTAAGATCGCATGTTCCACTTCGGCCGCCTGAGATTCACCGGCTCAGATCCCGGGTGTGGACCTATGCAACGTTCGTCAAACCATGCTGTGGCAGCATCCCACGTATAATGTACAGGAAGATGGCCACGGATGTTAGCTCAGGGTCAGTCTTCCTCAGCAAAAAGAAGGTGGCAAATGTTAGCTCAGGGCTAATCTTCCTCAAAAAAAAAAAAAAAGTGAGCAGGGTTGTGCCCTTTAAATCTCACATTTCTAGTGACTTTATGACCAATTCATATCCAGTACTTCCTTGAAGACCCCACTAGGAACAGGTGTGGCAGCCAGCCTCTAAGAGTCCTGATTCCCAGCTTCCAAGATTCACACCCTTGTGTAGACTCTACTATGCAGTGCCAGGGTTGGTCTGTGGGACCACTAGAATATGACAGAAGAGATGGTATGTCACTTCTGAGATTAGGTAAGAAAGACCATTGTTTCTGTCCTGGTCTCAATCTCTCAACATCTCTGTCTCTCTCTCTCACTGGTGCATGCTCACATGCTCTCTCTCTCTCTCTGTTGAATCACTTGCTCTGAGGGAAGACGGCTGCCATGTTGTATGGACACTCCGGCAGCCGATGACAAGGTCCACGTGGGAAGGAACTGAGGCCTTAAGTCAATAGCTAGAGAGGAACTGAGGCCTCCCAGCACCCATGAGAGGGAGCATGGGAGCGAGTCCCTCCAAGCCAAGCCTCAGATGACTGCGACCCACGAGAAGCCCAGGCCTGAAAACCCGGCGCAGCCCTCCCTGGATTCCTGACCCCGGGAAACTGTCAGAGGTCGCAAACGTTCGTTCTAAACTGCTGAATTCTGGGGTAATTTGTTACACAGGAACGGACGACTAATATTCACGTGCTCTCTGGAAAGCCCTCCCAGAGAATGCTGCCATGACTTTGAGCAGTTCTTCCAAAGCAGGGGCACAACAGAACACATAAGAAACTCTGCAGTGAATGCTGGGTGACATTTCATGTATCTTTGCATAAAAGGTCATTCTGAAGCCTGTATGTAAAGCTGAGTTACAAAGTACTGTTCACGATAATTCTTAGACTCCTTAAATAATGACATCAGCACATTCTCAGAATGTATGTGTGAGTTAAGCTAGATGTTGCTCAAATTCCAAATACCAAAGCTATGGTACAGTGTGGCTGGCGGCAGCCAGTGACAGACGGGGCTGAGGGGCAGATCCTAAAACCCTGTGTACGATGCACAGAGGGATGGAGACTTTGGCCAACAGCTGAGAGATTCTGAGCCAGGGAGGATCACAAGCTGTGCTAGGAAGGCTACCAGCTGTGGGGAGTCAGGAAGACACATTGGACATTTTTTGGAATAGACAATATGAGATTGTGGGGTATAAACCCAGGAGGTGACTGGAGAAAAGCATCAGAGCAGCGGTTTTCAAACTCTTAAGTAAGTGGTACTCTATTTTCCTACCTAATAGCACATACGTATAACTTATTTTCCACTCATTTTATTTGCAGAAAGACCAGGAAAGGATCCGTTGTGATCATCCAAGAGACGTCTAAACAATCACGCAAACTTCTGTTTCTAATGCACTTCATTGTTACCGTTCAATTTGGTTTACATCTGTGCGTATCTACATATACAGGGACAACACATATACACACACACATACATACAGGGACAGAGTTAGAGTCATTTTTTTCTTTCTCATGGGATCGAATGATGCTGCAAGGCTAAGGTGAGGCAGCCAACATCACCTCCACTGATGGGGTGAGGGAGGAATGGGGAGTAAGGGGGAGTGTCTGTGGAGTAAGTTACTATTTATTCCAAACTTTTTCTTCAGAAATGAATGTCAAATTTGGGAGAAATAAAACAGCTATCAGCCACCTGCTCATAAGCATAAAAATAAGACAATTCCACAAGAGCAAGCCATTCCAACTGCCCTGACTCTTTATCAAGGAGTACTTGGGGCATTTTGCTGCCTCTAGAGACAATGAATACTGGTAAATGTTGTCTTTCCAGAGGCTACTATCTAAAAGCCAAACAGAACTCTATTCTGGCCATGAAAATGACAGCAAGGCAGCCAACTGAGAGAGAGACAATAAGAAAGGATGTGCGTACCTGTGTATGTGTTTGTTGGAGTGTCCATATGTGGGCAGTCACGGATGCAAATACACACGAGCAGGTATAAATGCACAACACAGGGCTCTACAGCCAGCCTGCTGTGCTCCACAGCACCCATCAGTGACAGCTCACAGCAGCATTTAAACTCCGCACAAAGGTCCCTGGACACACATGCAAACACTGTTTCCTACCAAGTGGAAACGCTCATCTTAAAACCTGAGCTTATATAAAAGCCTCCTTCTGTCCAGAATGAGGGACTTTATTATCCAGGAACTACAGGAATCTCAAATATAAATCTTGGATTTTTAATGGAAAATGGAAGTATTCATGCTCAAGTGAGAGACAGATCTCAGATGCTAAGCCACTCAGAAACCTGTAAACCCCTCAGTTTGTTTTTCTAAATAACACATATTCGAGAACTTAATAAAAGAATCACTCATGTTCAAAACTGTTTTATTTCTAAATAAATTCAAGCAACTTTAGAGGAAAACAAAAAATAAGCCAGTGCACAAATATTCACCCTGTTTACACTGTTCCAAATTCTCTTCTGAGCTGATAAAGACACGGCCTTACAACACTAGGACCCAGGTTTGAAAACCGCCCCCTCCTCCCCTTTTCAGGTTGTAGGGGAGTAAAATGGAAGGAGGAGCTCCTGAAGAACTTCGCGGGCTCTGGGCCACCAGGCGCAAGCCCTGGGTACACACCATCCAGACACACACGCACTTTCTCCCTCGCATACCTCTCTCCCCAGAGGGCAACACAGGCTGCAGGACTGCCGAAAGCTCCACCGCAGCCCCTGTCACCAACCACGCCCCCCTCCTAGGCTTCTGTCTCAGCTGATTATACATTTTCACGGTGACAAAGACTCAGAAAAACTTCTTTGTGCAAAGCCTATTTTTCCGTCTGTTTGTTCTGAGGGAGAAAATATTTCCTTGGGGTGACAGAGTCCTAAAATTGACCAGCCAGGGGTAAGAGAAACGATGAATAATTTTATAGCTTTGGTTGCACTCAGCTAGTCTGCTTTCTGGAAAGATTAAATCGATTTAGAGGAACAACAAAATATCTTTGTACTGGTCATGCCAGAGACCTGAAAATACTGTGATCTTTTTGGTCCTCTGTTTAATCTTTGTATGTACTTTGAAGAATACAAAGATAATGTAAACATAAAATAAGCAATTTAACCAAAATATTGAACTGAGAGAACGCTAAAGTGTTTTTTGCCTTATTCTGAATCATTTAATATTTCTGATGGTATCAAGGTTGGCTTTTTTTAACATCAGACACATAGACTGGCTTCTGAGCTCGCCTGTCTGGGACAGCAAGTATCAAAAATCATGGGAGAGAAGCAGGGGGTGTCGCTCAGAAGTCAGGCAGAACGTGGCCCTTCGCCCCGAAGAGCCACGAGTTCCAGGGAAGCTGGAAAGGTGAACGGTGATAGCAGCCACAGCCAAGCCGGCCCACAACCCCTAGATCCTCTGAAGTCAGTAGCTAAACATGCAGGGCTCCAATCAGACTTTTATGCGTGTTTATTCCAAACCTAAAATTTCAGAAGCCCTTAGCAGTCTGGCGGCAAGTCGACTGTCTGTCCTCAGGGAATAAAATCACAGGCTGGCAGCCAGGACGAGATACCTAGACCGCCTGACTCGCCCTGCAGCCCAGCCCTTCCCATCTGAGGCGTGTGTGCCCTGGGTGGAAGCTGCCCCCACTGACATGCCGGAGATCCCTGGCCCAGGGCCCAGCAGACTAGCTCTGAGGCTCCTCCTGTGTCCTAACTGGCCTCTCCGGGACACAAGCATCTGATCGCAGGGCACCAGAACAGCACCCTTGGCATTTTCCAAGCTGCAAGAACTATCCTGGGACTCAAACAGCAGCTACTGGCTGACAGTCAGCCCAAGGGATCGAGCACCCAGTACTCCTTGTGATCCCAGTGCTAGGGACCAGCCTGGACATTTGGGCTCGTGGGTGCCCATGACAGATTTATGGTTCTCTTTGGCCCCCGGGTTCCCAGCAAACACAAATCAGACTGTTCATTTGAGGCTCCTCCCACAATACGGCTGACAGTCACCTCGCTCACCTTCTCAAGAAGAATATTCAGAACCATCCCTGTGTTTGCACCTCCTCTGGGCCAGGGACTGACACCGTTTACAAGCATTATCACATTCAGTCCTAATAACTTCATGGAGCAGGTATCAGCATCTCTGGTTTACAGATGAGGAAAGGAAGTGATTTACACTGAGTGTGAAGTCACTGAGCTTCCAAGTGACAGAGCTGCGAGTCAGACCCAAGATCACCTGATGTCAAAGCTCTCTTCCACACCCCGTGT